TCATGTATGGCAAGCGTAACGAGCCGCAAGACAACCCGCGAGCGAGTAGCAAAGCCGCGAGGAGCAGAGGATAGAATGCTCCTAGACTGCGAGCAGTCTCTGTTTTTCTTCAGGTAGTGCACGCGCGCGCGAGCGTTGAGCGGCGAAGCCGCGAGACACGAGAAACGAGGGCGGCGCCTTCAGTCACGCGCGTGGTCATTTGCGTGTCTCGGGCGTTTTGCTCGACGGACCAAGAAAAAAGAGAGACTGCTCGGAGTCTAGAATGCTCCAGTTTATGCACAATTCCCGCCCCTCGCACTCGCGTCCCCTTTGGCGTGCTGCTCTCGCGTGACTTCTCGCGATTTTCCCAAATGGGGAGCTTGCTCGCAGGCTACTACTCCTTAGTACTTCTATAACAAATGTATTGGGGCAGCATTAAATTTTAAAGGCTTAACTAATGGCGGGATAAGCTCAGGCCTTACAAGCTTTATTGACCTAAAGAGTGCCTTCATCTTTTCCTTAATTTTATTTGCAGTTTGGATGCACCGGTTTATGCACAATTCCTGACTTGTGCAAAGAGATTGACCCAGATGCACGGGATAATGATAGAGCACTTGTTGAGATGCACATACAGAGAATAAGGGGATATGTTCAGGATCATCTTCCACATCTAGATTATCGACAGCCAGCAATTGTGGAGACTTGTATTTACACAGTAGGTGTTTTTATTTGGCTGACTCCGTGTCAAAGAATAGGGCTTTTAACTTAACAAACTGACCTTATCATCATATCATCACCATAGAGCAGGGGCACCCAATGAGAACATGGTTCAAAACTACTTAAAAATGGCATTGTTAAACGCATTTTAGTATTTAAATGGTAGAGATAGGCATCTTTTTATCCCCTAAAAATTTTTCATCAGTTCGGATTTCCTAGCTGAAAATCTAGTGATCCGAAAATTATAGGGATCAAAACTTACCTTTACAAAAATTTCAGCCAGAAAAAAGGCTCCCGAAAATTCTAGGTGACCTTTTTAGGGTAAAAATTCGTTAAAAATGGGCAATTATACCATTTTTTAGATGTTCGAAAATCCTAGGAGAGGCAGCCAAGTAAGAAATTTTACAACAAATGTTCCGAAAAATTCTAGATCTCAAATCGTCTTCCGAACAGATATTTTCCGAAAATTGACGTTGGGTGCCCCTTATAAGTAGATTAAACTAAACCATGCAGGTGTGCGTCGATCAAAGAAGTAATTTGTGACGGTGTCTGGGGCCGTACATAACCGAGTTATTTCCAGGTAACTCTTTAAATTAACTGATTTAGAAAACGCGAATGCGGACCGTTTATTTAAGGTCTTAAGCAATGTTTAATCGGGTTATGTAAAGTAGGCAAAAAACAATAGATTTTCTTAAACGGGACAGATTCTTGTAAACTATCGTCATCATAATCGTCATCGTCAACTCATTATCATTATCATCATCATCTTTATCTTCGTCGTTGTTGTCGTCATGATCTTTTGAGAGCTGAAGCAACGACGACGAAAAAATAGTTTGCGACCTTTAAACGTTATCGCGTTTATTTGTAAGCGCTCAGTTCGTCAAATATAGGCGATTTTTCCTGGAATGGAATTATTATGGTCTTATCCAGGTTCAAAAAGAGAAGGGAAAATTCGTCGTCGTTTGACCAGTTCCTGTATAAAACGTCGCATTTTAGTCGTGTAGTGGATGCCAAAGTAACCGTAAGTTATAAGCACTGTTGTTTGGCTCATAAAACCACTTGTTTTTTACGTTGTTGTTGTCGTCATGGCCATCATTTTCATCCATTCTCTAACATCTCATCTTTTCCACCCGCCCTCATCTTCTGTCGCAACACGGCAAAGCTTTTCGTTCATTTTATTTGTTTGTATTGAGCTCAAGACAACAAATACAATTCTGTGCATATTTCATAAGGGATGTCTCTTTCTTTTTCAATCTAGCTCACCCCAGATGGGAACTATGTGTTAGATAAACATCCAAAATTTTCCAATGTTATCGTTGGTGCTGGCTTTTCTGGTGAGTGTTTTTTTATGTAAACATGCTCACAATATTAAAGAGAGTTTTCCATGCATTATTTCAGTTCCTTTTTTCAAAGGTCTCATTTGCAAGTAAAAAAGTACGTTTTCAAAGAAAACGTCAACCTCTTTTAGACTTGACTCAGAATGACGGGATCTTTTGAGGAAACGTCAGATTGCCTCTTGTTTAACTCATCCCAAGGAATAGAAGTGAATCTGTGCGGGAAATTCGTAAACAGTCAAACCCCGCTCTACGGACACCCGCTTAATTATTACTGACAGTTTGCTTTGTCCCTGGAGAAAGAAAGCCCTTTCATTTTCCCTAAATTTAACCCGCTTAATACGGACACCCCTTGAATAAGGACACCTTCTGTGGCCTCTTTAGTGTCCGTATTGCTTTGACTGTATTATGTTGCACGTTTAACGCTTGATGTAATTTGCTTGGCTGCTACACAAAATTTCACTTTTACGTGAAATACTGGATAACATAGGCAATTGGTTCCCCAAATACTTATACGCTGGATAGTGATTTATCCCGTGGATAGCGCTTTTCAACGTTTGAACAGTCAGGGTAAGATGACTAGGAAGAACAGGAAGATCACGTGACTAAGAGACCGAAAGCTTGTAAAAAAAAGTCAGCCTCCTTTCTAGGGTTATTCTTCTTTTTGTCTCTGCCTCGCCTTAAGGCGGGAAGGGAAGAAGAGAGTCCCTGGGTACGACGTTGGTGAAGTGGAAAAACGTAATCATTAAAGACATGAATATAAATTTCAAGCATTCCCCTTAACATAGGCACCAACTCAAGGCTTGCGGTATAACAGCCATTTGTATGAAATAGTTTCTACATGCCACGACCTAATTTATTAAGTTGTTTTACTGGAGTCGAATCATCAGGCTCGATTTCCGTCACTCTCTAGCTCCTCACCGAGTCTGTTCGAGGAAAGAGCGCGGGCTCATTTCCCAAACAGCGGCCGGTTATCAAGCTAATAAAATCATGGGAAAGTCTAGTTGAATTAAAAGCGTCAAAACGTAATTTAAACTGAAGTTTCACTGCTTTGTATTGACAGCTCATGGATTTAAGCTCGGACCAGTCAGTGGAAAGATTCTTGCACAGTTGGCCATGGGTGAAACACCAGCATACGATTTGTCGCCCTTCAGGATATCAAGATTTAAAACGTCCATTGGCCAGAAAGCCTCGCTATAAAAGGATCAACCTGCTATGTGTACATAAAGATTCCTCAAAGAAAGACAAATCGAAATGATTATTTTACAAGACAGAATTGACATGTATTTAAGTAAATTTCGTACACAGAGGATTTAGCAACCTCGTTCCCAGGTTCTCTCTCCTATGGTCTCTCTCTCTCGCTCCGTAGGAACGGGTAGGAGAGAACCCCGGGAATCAGGTTAAGGATTAGGGCCATGGGTCAGATGAAGGGGTCGGGACTTTGATTCTAATTATCAGTAAGAGTGCATACACGGTTTTAGATAAAAACAGTGAAACGGGAGGCACAAGATCTGCATCGGTATTTCTCAATCAAACTATCTCTCACAGTAGATAGAAAATAACGTTGTGACAAAAATAGATTAGAGGAAGACATTCTAGAAAGTTAATTCTTTAGTCCTTTCAATCAAACGTAGTAGAATCTTCAAATTAATGCAAGTAGGCCGTTGCTAATTTCTAAACAAACTCACTTTCAAAATGAAGCCAAATGTACAACCTTTCGTGTGTAAATGAGTTTAGGTTACATGAGATTACTCTATCAAAGACTTCGCACTTAAACTCGCTTTGAAAAAGAGGCAAAGGGTAACTGGAAAATGACCTATGTATGAAATTAAACGATGTAAAAAATGCTTTGCGGCATTGATGTGTAATTTGTGTGTGTGTTCTGCCCACAAGCAGGTCGTTCCTTATAGTTGCCGAACTAAGGCGCGAGTCTTGACCGCCACGCAAGGGCTGCCATCCTTCACTCTATCCAGCGTTCCTGCTCGAAGTCTTCAAGGTGACCTCTTTCTATTAGCCGCCCTCAATAACTAATGAGACAAGATCACCATTCCGTAGGGTGTGTAGCCAGACTTTCTGTCTTCTGTAGATAACAGATGTGATGGCACTCTTCTCACCGACTCGACCGGCTTTATGCCTCGCTTTATTAATCCAAGTTGATTCACGGTATAACAGAGTTTTGAAGAATGTGCGGATAGTGAAAAGCGATCTTGACAAAGCCCATAAAGCTTACATTTGTTACTTTCTATCAGAAGTTCGTGTGAAATATAATTATACAAAAAAGAAACTTTATCAGATCTATAAAGTTTATGAATTGCAATTATAAATATAGGACAAAAATTCTACCTAGAAAGTTATGACATTAAATGTACTTATTTCAAAGTACGACGCTGACATTTAAAAACGTTTTTTTTAAACGACACACCGATTCATTGTCGACTGTACCCCCACAAATTACATATATGTAAAACTTTTGATGGGGATGAGTCGACTCCCGTTATTGCGGAAACCCTCGTGGGAAAGATTTAGTGTCCGTAATAGCGGGGTACGAGAGAAAAAGATTGTTTTCTCTTTCAATGTATGAAGTAATATGTAAAAGTCCCAGAAGCATTGAGTTTCTACAATTCTTTACTTCGTTTTCTGAAATATGGACCATAGGACCAAAGATAGAGAGCAAAATGGGTAAAAAAAGACAATTCACCATGGAAAGACCTGAGCCGCATTGCATGACATTGTTATTTCGATTTGCATTTCAAGTGGAATCGTTTTTCCCCAATTTTAGCCTTTTTCTCTTCATTCTATCTGTCCGCCGCAGCGTTTCAAGTGCCCACGTACCAGACAACGCCACACAGCTTGCGATGTACTTGGGTAGCCTGTGCACGGATCTAAAGACCTGTGGTCAGCGGAGAACTTCATCAGTGTATCAAATCCAAGATGGCGGACAAAACACGTTTCATGCAACCTTGACAAAATATGCCAGGAGCGAGGCACTTACGCGGCACTGTCGCTTCACGGTAATGTTTTTTGGATTTTGAATGTTTTCAGAGGATATTTCAAGGGCGAAGTTCTGGGCTTATGTCTTTTGACTTAACGATGCACGTGTATGTTTTGTTAGGCAGCTACATGCAACTCAGACCACCATTGCTGCATGTTCTGTTAAAAATCTAAGGGTTTCTCGGTGTTATGTACTTGAATTAGCATGGAAACGTGGGAGAACAAATTTTTGTTTTATTTTATAACAAAGAAAGTAGTGCAAAATTGCACACTACATGAAAAACAATAAAAAATAACACTCTAATTTTGTTAAGTAAGAAAAGCATTTTACGAGAGAAATTAATTTTTATTAAGCGCAGGGAGCAAGGAGAAGGCAAGGCTAACTCTGTTTGAACAATCTGAATTATCTAGAAACCTGAAAAAGGTTGCAAACAGAGTTCATACAGAGTCTTGAATTCTTGAAAAAGGCTTGAAATTTGCCCAGCAATTTTCCCCTCACCCCCCTCACCACCCTCACCCCCCTCACCCCCCTCACCCCCCAAATCAATGTTGTCTGAAGTAAAAAAAGACCTGTTGTCTGAGGTAAAAAAAGACTTGAGGGTCCAAAATTCAACATCGATTTTGGGGGGAAGGGGTTGGGGTAGACAGGGCAAGGGGATAAGTATATCCACTACGCAAAAAGGGGCCATTTTACAGAATTGTGTCAACACTTTTGTCCCTCATTGTAGTTTCCCTTTTGGAAAAAATTATGGATATGATAGATATGAAAAGGTATACCAAACTTGTCTGAGGTTTGTTTTTAATGACTGTAATGATTTTTGACGTTCCTACATAACTCTTTAAGCAAATGATGTACATTACATTTTGTTTTAAAAAGTATTTCTTTCCCTTCTGAATACACGTATGCGTAATAGGGATGACATATTTAAACCTTTTTATCTAGTAAAAACAGCCCATGTGGAGTACACATTTAAACTACCAGAAAGTAGTGACCCCCTGAAAGTAGCAACCCTCCGAAAGTAGCGATAGGGAAAGGCTGCTAAGTTCAAAAGTAATGAGGGTCATTACTTTTGGAACTTTATGGTAAAGTCTGGAAAAATGGTTAAAAGTCTTGAGGTTTTTTTCAAAGTTACAAGTGCTTTATAAGGGAAATGTTTCTTCATTTTGGACTAATCTAATTTAACCTCGCCCGCACGTTTGCAGTGCATCATGAAGGAAGCTTTGTTCCTGTGTTTTGTTAAGGTCCATATTGATTACCTATTTGATAACCTCCAGTCTGGAAAAAGAAATTGTTGTTTTGGAAAAAAGGTCTGGAAAATTTCTTGAATTTTGGATCCAGTTATCTGTGTGAACCCAGTGTAGTGTAACATTGTCAAATGTAATACAGATAATAATTATTGTAAAAGAGACAAAACTAACATATTTGTACGAATGAACTGATGTATGCAGAACTTAAAAATACAACAGTAACATTGTATAAAATTGTACTTATTTGTAGCTAATTGGCCACAAAGCCACAATCTTTCAATCCCTCTGAAATCGTTCCAAAGCATGTCTAGCTCATCTCACAAGCAATAATATAATCGACATATAATCAAGGCTGTGGTTTAAATTCCTCACCCTTATGCATGGGGATCAAATTCCCCACCCCCTAGAAGACTGATTATCAAATTCCCTTCCCCCAAGATGGCAAAGGTCTCAAATGCCTGGGGTATGCACAGGATATGTTGAAGCTTTGATTTGACTGATACAATAGTGCTATCCACTGGGTAAATCATTTCTCCCAAAGTATGGGGAAGCCAATACCATCCACCGGATAGTGATTCAGGGCTGTCATTAAGAGGCGGGGGCCGGGGATTTCCCCCGGCTACTATGAACGTCTTCCCCGGCTACTTTCAAAGGAAAATAAAAGAAAAATAGAACCGAAAGAAATTCCTAGCTGTTTGATTCCCCGCCTTCTTGTTGTATTTACCCGGCAACTTGAAATCTTAGTGACAACCCTGGTGATTTATCTGGCAATATCAACACTGCATGAACAAACGGACCTAAAGAGAAATGTTGAGGACATGAAATGACCTACTATTATGTAGAAATAATAGTAGACATGATTACAATAAGATTCCTTAAAGTATATGTAGATGTCCAAAGCATTCAATTGGAGACAAAAAGGTTTTCTATCCATGGTCACCACCTGACACCCAACTGAAAAAGTTAATTTCAAGCCCGTGCCTTTTCCATTCAACAAATTGCAGCCTGTTGAGGAATGTTCATCAATGAAATGTTTTCTGCTCATTCAACAAAGCTGCAACATCACCCACCATTGTTTTAGCAAAACATTTTGATCAATGTTTAACCATCATTATGTATCTTATGCTTAAAGGATATTCTTCACAAGTAACATTGGCTATTTGTTTTTTAATTTTTAGCGTTCGTAACCTTCTTCGTTCAGGGGCTATCAAAAAAGCATGGGAACCAGTATGGTTTCCAGTTGTGGAAGCTTTCCCCCCGTTACTGGACACCAAAGTAAACAGAAAAGCTGAAGCTGGAAGAATGCAAAAGATCATCTACCCTGAGGATAAATTTAGAAAGTAAGGATTAATTTCAGCAGATGTTTTAAAAAGGAAATGGCACATTTAGGAGTCAAAATAAAATTTAAACAAATTTTTTTCCTCTGATGCACAAAGCCTACCATGTGAGAAGAGGCCCTTCAATCTTCTAAGGAAAGTCGAGAAGATCTCCCAACCTTCAAGGAATATGTAAGGGCTTGTGCTCACTGGGTACACAAAACCAACCTCCCTGTCAGGATCAGCAGTCAAGCTATCAGAAAAATGTTCATGTATTTTCTTGGATCTACACACATTACACACATGACATTATATATGCTGCGTTTGGAGCAGATGCAAGGCTGGAAATCATACTGAACAGGTGCTAGCTATGACCAGTTGCAAAATAGTTGAGGCACTTTGCATTAAAATTGTTTTTCCAAATTTAGTGCATCACCAAGGAAGAACTCTTGCAAGTGCAAGAGATTACCCCCTTTCCTCCTTTCATAGTTGTCCCTGCAAGGGTTGAATACAGGTATTTCATGGAATCGTTACCACTTTCAATTGATAACAGGGGAGGAGGCAGGAATCATGTGAAGTCTGTTTTATCAAATTTTTTTGGTTTAATGGTTAGTGTTTCAAGCTTTTTGCCAGTGGTTGACTGGTTGTAACGTAGAACCACATGATTTACATACGAAAGGCGGAAGGACTGCATTAAAGCAGAGTTAACTTGAGCTAAACTCACCTACAATAAAAAATTATTGTTACATACTGGTAAAAGTCTTCAAGGGGATTAAGACAAGAGAGGATAAATTTATCATCAACCCCAAATTTGGTGAGAAAAAGTAGTTTTTCTTTTACTAACTCTCTTTTTGCACATGTAGGTCTTCCCTTTGATTAACTCTAATAAATCTGTTTTTTTTCTTCATTTTTATCAGGCAGTTCCATGAGCAATTTCAAACCAATCAGCCATTGAACCTATGGAAAGATACAGCTCCTTCCCATTGTGACAGGTAACTAGCAATAAACACATCCTTTCTGTCAAAATCCCTGTTCAGACTTGATGTCTATTATGGTGATCCATAGAAAGACTCAGAAGTTAGAAAATAATAATATATATATCTGATATCATTGTGATAATAATTGCAAAAGTAATATTTATCCTGAGAGTGAATAAGTCTTTAATATTGCATCCGCCACGGTGACTTAACATGGTGACAGGGAAAGAAACAGGACTAACATCCAAATTGTTAACAAACTATGGCTCAATATTATTGTTAAGCCAAATTATTTTTGAAGCTATAATAACTGGGTGAATCCCTGGAGTTGGACAGTGACCTGAAGATCATTATGGAAAGGATATTTTTTTGTCATCCGAAATAATAACTACTGTTAGAAATATGTGAATCGCAGAACCTAGAAAGGCAGACATAATTGGTGACAATTATCTGAGCCCATCAAGTCCATCTACTCCTACTGGAAATTCTCCTTCAGTTTTAAGTTGTAGAAAGAGAACTTGGTGATGCACCATCTTGGATTGTGCTTGGCAGCGTGGCCTCTTATGGGTGGTCTGATTTAGCTCATTTTGAAATTGGTAGGCTGCGTTAAAACAACATTTAGCAAAACTGTATCTCAGCTAGGACAAGTGTATGATTCCAAATTGCAGCTCAAAATGCTGTATTTTGCCTTGGGTGGGGGTGGGGGGGAGGAGGGGAGATGTGGCTACCCAATAAATATTCGGCTTACCCTTTAAAATTCCTCTTTTGATCAAAATGGTAGCCTTTTCTTATTTAACTTCCATTGAAAAATGGTATCTTTTTTAACATGCTACTTAAAAACGATAAATTGCCAAACCTGGAAGTTTTCTTATCATTGTTTTGGTAATTTATTAAAATGATATACCTACAAGGTATGTTTTTTGAAACATTTTAAATTATGTCGCTGTTAAATACTTTGAAGAAAAAATGATAGATTTTTCGTACCCTTTCATATACTTCAACTGGTGAATTCCCTACCATTTGATATACATGTACGTAAAGCCTAGAAAAAGGTACAGTGTACCCCTTTCGTGCATAGCCTTCCTGTATATACCATTATGGGGTGTGACCCCCTCCGCCTGGGGTATTTTGTCTTTGGAGGAGAGTTTCATTAGGATCAGATGGACTTTATTTGTGATATGTAAAAATATTAAGAACCTTAAGGCTTTTTGGACTGACCTTGTTCTTTCCATGGAAAATAATAATTAATCTTGAAATAGTTATAGTTTGTTATTGTTTTCAGTTTTGTAGAGACCTGTATGCAGCTTGTTTATCAGGGAATGAGTGATGAGGAAGCTGTTGATAATGCTATCAAGACACTTGAATTTGGAAAGAAAAAAGTGGCAGTGAGATTGACTGATGTATGTGTTCTTGATAAACATATAATAATATTTTAAAATCATCTGAATATGGCAGCAGATCAGGTCATTTTAGGTCAATAATGAACTATGCAGATTATTCATTTGTGAACCAACTTAATTTTTTTCAACGTTAGTGATTGAGTTGGTGAGTAAGGAATTCAGGAAGGATAGATCTTTGCACAGATACCTTATTTTGTAAATTTTGACCAATCCTGCCAGTCGTACAGAAAAATTTACAGCCAATTTCGCTAGTCACCTACTCTTACCAGAGAAAATTTCCCCTTTTCCTGGAAAGTTAACCAGCCTTAGTTGAATGAAAAAGAAAGACAATAAAGTGGCCAGAAAAGAAAAGCAAAAAGACGGACCGAGAAAGAAGGATCGAAATAGAAAAGAAGTCCACATTTTGGCTTATGCACATTTACCAAAAACAAAAATGAAGCTTGATTATTTCATCTTATTACGTGATGTAGCAGGAAACTATGCAACAGTGTTAAAAATCTTATTTTTAGGCATTTTCGCGCTAAATTGGGAGAAAATTGGTCCAAAAAAGAGATTTTATTAGAAATGTTTTTTTTTTTTTCGCTAGTAATAATAAATATTCCATATATTTCAAGGGTTACTTTTTGGTTATCATTTCTACATGTATGTTCACAGGATGACTGGGAAGGAGATGATGTCTTTGTTCACAAAGACACTGAAGCCGACTATCCTTCAGATGACAAACAACCAGAGTTGAAATAACTGACAGGCAGGCAGCTAGTAAGATTTAATTATATTTAAGAGGCCATGGAAGATCACTAGAACTGTGACTTGGTGTTTGATTTAGGTCGAAATACAGCTTATAGTTTGCATTTGTTGAAACTGAAGTAATTAAATGTTTGAACATTTTCTAATCATCACTACAAGGAAAGGATTAGAAAATGCCAGATTTGTGCCATTTCATCAGAACTTCCCAAACTTGGGACCAACCATCAGTTATTTGTGTTTGGCCAGAGGACAACATTTGTATGATGTGTGATTGAATTTCATATCATAACCCCAGTGATTTGCCATAACCTACATTTCATCAAGGCAAACTAGTTGCAGGTGATTTAAAGGTCATCCCTTGAGGAGAAATGAACAGTTTAGTTATTACTTTATAAAAAATCCATTTTAAACCTGCAAAAATTAACGCTGATCAGTCATAAATCAACTGTGTGGAGTATTAAATGCTTATTATTGGTCATTACACCATTTTCATGGAAAACTTTGCTTATATGCATGTCTACACTTGAAGTGTTTTTTAGAGGCAATACCTATGACTTTTCAGCGGTCACTCTCTTGTAAGCAGTCACTTGCCAAATTCCCAGAAATAGTTTCCCTCAATTACTGTTAAACTCATCAACAATAGATGGGTGTGGGAAAGGTGCCTGGTGAAAAAGAAGGGGGCCGCAAACGAGTTTAGAAGGTAACCGTGACAAACATGTGAGCGACACCCTCCAGGCACCGTCACAATGAAAACCTCAGTGGAAAAAGACGCAGATACTTAGCAAGAAAAACATCTCAGAAGATTCATCAGGAAACGGAATTGATATTTTAAAATAAAAAACAGAACGAATAATCCAAGAGATATCAACCATTACAAATCTCTCCAGCGAGAAGTACAAAGGAGGGTCAGGCAAAGTTACTGGAGTTATGTTGAGGATATTTTAGAAGCAAGAGATGCTGAAAATAACCCCCCTACTTCTAAACGCTTTTGGTCTCTTATCAAACATGCACGTAGCGACAAATCAGGAATTTCTTCACTAATGTCCGGGTGTGACATAATAATAGATTCGACTACCAAAGCCAAGTTACTTAATGATCAGTTTCAGAGGGCCTTCTATAAGAGTGTACCAATGAAACTTAAACATATTGCTGAGCAAGCAACCAATGCACAAGTATCTGGGGGCTGATACCCTCGTATGCCACCAAACATCACTGTTGAGGGTGTTCAAAAGTTATTGGACTAGTTAAATCCCTATAAGGCACCTGGCCCAGGAACCTACAGCCCCGAAGCCAGATTGCTCCAGTCTCCTGCAACATATTCAAGGTTTCCCTTAGAACAGGTACTGTTCCTGATGACTGGAAGTTAGCAAATTTAACTCCAATACACAAAAAAGAGTTTAGACAACTACCTGAAAATTAGCGACCTGTTTCTTTTACATGTATATGCTGCAAATTGATGGAACACATTCTGGTCTCACATATTAGAAAGCATTTGGATCGCCACGGTATTTTAAATGATTCTCAGCATGGCTTCAGGCGAGCACGAGCATGTGAAACTCAGACGTACGCTTTTCAAATTTCAGTACAAACTTCATGGCAAGGTCCTGGAAACTTTTGATACTTCTAAATATCTAGGGATCAACCTCTCGCACGTGATTTACGCTGGAATGATCATGTAAATGAAATTACCACCAAAGCAAACAAGACTCTGAACTTTCTACGCCGCAATCTCGGCACTTGTTTGGCCAAATCCAAAGAACGAGCATACAAAGCGCCTGTGAGACCGATTGTTGAATACAGTGCCACTGTCAGGGGCCCTTACGTGGCTAAGAACATACAACAGGTAGAAATGATTCAATGCCGAGCAGCTCGCTCGGTACTCGGGCGCTACGACAGATTAGACAGTGTCACTGATATGTTATCGTCTCTCAAATGGAGATCTCTTGAGCTCAGGCGATCTGACGCACGTCTCTGTATGCTGTACAAATAGAGTAATGGATTAGCCACTTACGAATGCGATAAGCTTCAGAGAGAACATAAGAGCAGAATGGACACCAGGCTCTCGTCTCTCAGTCATCGATTTAAGCAACCACGTTGTACGTGTGATTATGTACAAGAACTCTTTTTACCCCTGGACAATTGCACAGTGGAACAATCTCCCACCAGGAATTATAGCAACTACTTCGCCATGCTCATTTAGGCAATCCCTGAGTAATCTTACACATTGATTAGTAATTTTATGTTATTTGTTTATTCATTGTTGTAATCTTTATAATTTAAAGCAGTCTGCAATACTCTGTTAAGAGTGAAGACTTAATTGGTAAAGAAATAAATTATTTTGGTCATCGGATGGGAAAAGGGCAGGTTTGGATGCAAATTCACTCGGGTTCAACAGCCGATCGATGTACGGAGCTGAAATCAGTCTTTTATCCATTGCTCGAAGATATTAGCTTGTTGGCTACTCTAAAATTCGAGTATAAATAAAGTTTATGTTATGTTATGTTCTGGTAAGGAAAGAACGAAGTTCAGTGTGGATTTGCCTCGTTATAACATGAATTCAAAGGTAACGCAAAAAACCCACCGTTAAATCGCCCCTTGGAATATAAGCCCATCCAAAAATAAGTCCCTCAAAAAGGGCCTTTGAAAAATATAAGCCCCGGGCTATTTGAGCCGAAAAAAGCAAGGTTTGACGGTAAAAAGTCAAACTGAACCAACTTTCGGCAAATACAACCCGTGAGCTAAGCAAACACGTCTGCGAAGTGAGACGCACTGGCAAATGTTATTTTATCTCGATTTTCGTTATTATTTTGAATTGTTTCAATGTTCTCTGTAAATTACTTCTGCCGTCGAAATTAATAGCCAAACGCATCTCTTGATCGACAAAATAGCCTGTGTACAGACGTCCCCCCTCCCTCAGAAAAAAATCGGGAGGAGAAATTTTTTTCTGAGGGAGGGGGGACGTCTGTACACAGGCTATCGACAAAACGGTCGCAAGAAACGGACCAACTTTGTCGCTTGATGACGTAATTGCGTAAAACAAATTAGTATATGCATACTCAGAGCCTCTGCTGGCCCGCTTACCGGGACCAACACCTTGGGTTCTATGAGAAATTTCAGCCGGTTTCCGAGATGAGAAAAGGCCGAGGACGAGCTGTGTCTCGAAGAAACAAAGTAAACATGGCGAAACGCGAAGCTACAACTTTCGCGCCTATTATAGCTTTGGCAACTCTTCATAGCTGTATCACTGTTGTCAAATGACGTCTCAAATGGGATGCTTATGATGTGGAAAATACAGCAGGCAAAGCAATACGATGCAGAATTCATACAAAGAATTCATCCCGCTTTCATCCCATGTGACGGAAGAAACAGCAGTAGATAGGCAGATTCTGAGTGAACTTTACGAGGCTTGACGGAAACTCGGTGCTTGACTCTTGTACCAACTCGCTTGCCGGGATAGCCGTCACTTCTCTGTAGAACCGAGATCTAACCACTAACTGGTAAAGCAGAGGCAAACTGAACTTTGGTTCCAACAGCTTTTATTCTGGTACACGTACCGTAACTTAGCTCACAGCAATATCGTTGATGTAATCGAAAAACAGTTAAAATTAGCTTACTTGTATATGTTTTTTACAATGCAACCATTGAAGACAAAAGAATACAATGGAAATATAAACAGAAATCGCTTAGAGTTAAATGGAAACTAAATACAAACTCTATTTTTAACTTGATATCTTTTGTTACTAGTGCTATTTTAGAAAGTATAAGTACTGAAACAAAGACCTAGCCAGGTCAGAAAAAGAGCGATTTCATATGTACAATGGGGGCAGCGGGGAGTGAATTATTACAACATGGATAAGTTGCAAGTTCAGCTATCGTCTATTCCAACAGAAAGAAGCGCAGACTAAGTGCGAGTTTTCACCTTGAACAAAAACCGATCTATTTTAAAAATTGCAAGACAGTAAAACCTTACATATTCAAAATTCACTTGTTGCATCTATTTAAGTACCCTGGGTACCAGAGGCTTTTCATGCGTTCTTTCCGGTTTCGGTCAAGTTCTAAAAAGTGACCCGCTTCGCCGCTCGTGCCTTCGGCCAAAGGCCGGAGATGTGTCAGCCTGCGGCCGACGAAACTCCTCGTCGCGCGAGAAAAAAACCTCTTGTACCCAGGGTACTATTTAAGTAACGACTTAATGAAATATATACATATAGATTGCAATTAAATTTAAA